ACAGGTTTTTAAATTTAATAAAGTATGTGGGACCCCCAGCCTGTGAACCTGCAGAGGCGCCCTCCTGTCTGGGGGCCTGCACCAGCTCTGCAGGGAACACTTGGGAACTCTCTGGGGTTGCTGACACCAGCTGTTTGCACCTGCTGAGCAAAGCGCGTGGTCACAGCCTCCTCAAAAACCAGCAGGCCTGGGGCAGTGAGCCAGAAGGGTGAACCCGGCGTGAGAATGAGGAAGGAAGCCCCGAACTCGGCAGGACCCTCACTCCCCGAGGGCCGTCACCCCAGCTTTAGGCCCCGTGGACCGGGGGCTCTGAAGCCACACCTCTGCCTGCAGGTACCCCGGTCACGCCCTGCTGTGCACGACCGTCTCGTGAGCCTGCAAACGCTGCTTTGCGTCAAGTCTTTGCATCTCCTCATTGCTTCTTCAACCACCACCCCATCGTGGCAACTCTGCATCCCCTGATTCATCTCAAAACTTCCTCAAATCCTTCCGTCAGCAGGCAGGGTGGATACACCAGCATCCACGTTAGCCTCTACTGTGCTTTCAGATGCCTAGTCTACGGGCACCCCTTGAAGGACAAATCTGAATGCGTGCGTGGAGACAGACGTATTTCACCGGCAAGGGCATCGACGAGCGTGTGCTGACACCAGCAGGGCGCCGGGCGGTGGAGGGGAGCAGACACGGAAGGCAGCGGAGCAGCTGCTCCCGGGCTTTGTAGCCTGGCGGGAGCACGTGGCTGAGATCTTTCCTGCTCAGAACGACCACGTGCTCCCGCACATTTCCAGCCTCTTCCCCACCAGGCTGGTTCTAGCCAGTGTGCCATGAGCAGAAGCGAGGAACCCTCCAGCGCTCTCTGTCCCTAACATGGTGTCCATGTGGCCCGGGTCAGTCTGGGTCCTTGAGCAACCGTGTGAAGCAGAGACCCTGGCCTGTCACATCAGACACACAGCATGAGCAAGAACAGATAGACAACTTCAGGCGATGCAACCGGGACTGGATGATGAGCAGAGGGCCTGGCGGCGCCCTGTCTGCTCTCATACTGGGAGACACACGCCCAGATATGGGAATGACGCAGACAGCACATGAGACACTCCTCAGGGTGGAGCACACAAGACTCTCCAAGCCGCCCCCCAGCCTGCTGGCTCACAATCCCCCGTCCGTGGTACTGTCCCCGCTGCTTTTGCCTTGGCTGCTCTGTCCCGTCGCCTCTGCCTCTGCAGAGGGCCCTCCCTCCAGATCTCTGTGTGGCTGGTCCCCTCTGCCCCACTCGGGTCTCAGCTATCATGCTACCACCTGGACAGGCCTTTCCAGACCACCTGAACTGAAGTACAAGACCCCAAACCACCCTCCCTTCGCCCTGTTCTGCTCTTTCGTGCTCTATGCACTGTTCCTGCTTACTGACCATCCTTCCCCTCCAGCGGAAGCGCAGGAGAGTCGGGACCACGTCTTTCCTGTCCACTCTGCATTCCCAGAATCGGGCCTGGCACAAAGAGGGCACTTAAGCACCAGCTGAGCAATGAACAAGTGAACGAGTGGTCTGTGCCCGCAGAGTTCAGGGGTGGGTGGAGGACACCCACTGAGGATCCAGAAAAAAATTCGTAGGGGTAGCAACCTGCAGAGGTCCTTTAAGGGGAGGGTCACTGAGGGTCATTACAACAGTCACTGCAGCCTGAGTGAAGCACGGGGCAGTCTGGGGTGACCGCGAATTGAGTGGTCGGCGGGGCTGGAGGAGGACACTGGGAAGATGCTAGTTTATATCTGACTTAAGGGCACAAGGAACCTCCCGGGGTGGGGAAGTGGGGAGAAGGGGAGGGATGTGTTCCCACTGTTTGAGAAAGGCTGACCGGGTGGGATTTCCAAGATAGAGGTCCCCAGGAAGAGGCTGAAGACCAAGGCATAGTCACTGGGCTAGAACAACAGTCCAGACAGGGTGATGATCAGCCGAGAAGGAGGAGGAAAATGATGAAGGAAGGAGCAATAAAACCTGGTCCAGGAAAGTTCCCTGTTGGCCCAGGGCCACACAGCTGGGGTGGGAGGGAGGAGAAGCGGGGTCTAGAATTCACGGTCCTTTCCACAGGGCTCCCACACTTAAGTGGTCCTTCCACGATACCCCGGCACCTCCTGAGCCCTCTGGGTACATTCAGTCTGAGACAGACGAGAACAGCAACCCGGAGCCATGCCCACATGGGGTCCCGAGTGGGGTCCTGACCCACCACTTGGGTCCCGAGAGCAAGAAATGCACATCAAACAGCACAAAAGACATTCGCAGTTTAGAAGCAGAACCTGAAGCTGAACCTCACTCAGCAAAATGAGGACGTGACACTTCCCTTGCTGACCACACAGAGTTTCCACGAAGACGAGATGGGTTAACCGAATCTGCTTTCAATAGAAAAACGCTTTATGAGCGAGCATCGCTCACACAAAGAACAAAAGGCACTTGTAAGAACTCCACCTCCTGTCCAGCGCACGACTTTCTTACGCAGCACTGGACGTCGGCTTCCCAGCCCGGAGGAGCCTGAACTTTTGGGTGAGGAACGGGGGGCTATTAGAAACGGTGGACGCAGCTTCACGGGAGGAAACGCGCTTCCCGGCCCAGCGCAGAGAGGACGCGCCCCGCCTGGCGCAGGGGACGTGCTCCCTAGACACTCGCTGGGGAGTGTCTGAGTGTGGACTCTCTACTCCTCCTCTGCCTTCAGCGCTTTCTGGAGCCGCGTAAGGAATGTGAAATAAAGTGACACGAATGGACCGCAGGTAGTCTCATTCGTGCATCTTGCATCACTGCCAGCTTCCCGTTCCTCTGTCCCTACTTCCTGTCCGTGCCTCGATCATGTCCTTCATAAGAGATCTTCCTGCCTCGTCCCCCACCCCGCCCCGTGGCATCCCACATCCCTCGGGAGGCATTCTGCAAACGTACAGCTCCCAACACATCATACCCTTCGAAACCCATGCCGGGGCGGCGGGGCAGGAGCTCTAGGGGACATTTGTTTCCACTCCTGCCTGTCCCCTGTGATTAGCTGTGATCCCCCGCCTTCTCTCCCCACCTCACTCTTTTCCTCTCTCGATGGGGAGAGGCAGAAGAGCGCAGCCCCTCTGTCGGCGTGGAAGGTGACCCAGGTGTCCCTCGTCTGCCCCCTGCTCTGCCCTTTCGGGGGATGCACAGGGCGGGCAGGAGGCAGGCGTTCTTCTGTGAACCGCGCATCCTCATCCTGTGCTCACACGCGCAGGGCTGCCGCCCACTGTTGCCCCACTGGGGGGGGCAAGCCCGCCTGGAAGCTGGTATTGGGGACCCTACTCGGCTCTCTTGCTAAGTGCTTCCTCCCGAAAAGACTTTTCCAGCTTTCAAGGTGGAAGCTTAGCTTTTGTCTGCAACTGCTTTTGCCTTATTTCTCCGCTGGCTCAGTCATCAGGCCAGGGAGGTGGTCCTTTTTACTGGATGCCCCTTAGAGCTTCAGCAAAAACTTTTATTTCCACCGTCTCCAAAATTAAGCGGAGTCCTCGGCCTGACGTTCGAGGTCTTTCACCAAAAAGCCTGGGCTCAGGCCACTCTCCTGGCCCAGTTTCCCTCCGCACTGTGCCCTGGACACGCCAGGACCCCCGAGCAAGACCCTGGGCTCCTCTGGCGTCCCGGACACGCTCCGTGTTCTCTTTCTTCCATCTGCTGAGTCCTGCTCCAATGACTCCCGGCGTTTAGGTCCCCAAATCCTACCAGTCGTGCAAGCACAGCCCACGGGCCACTCCTCCCTGGGCCCTTCCTGACCCTGATGGTCAGAGTTCCCCCTGCGGTGCCATACTTCTCATTCTGCCTCCTTTGCCAGGAACCTTCCCCTCCTCCTGCCCTCCCCTCCTCCCTCCGCGTGCCAGTCTGCCGTCCACTCATCTCTGAGCTCTCCAACCAGACGCCCCCACTCGGGGCCTCCCCTGAGCCCACTGGGAGTGTGGGATGCTCTTAAGGGCGCCATGGAATCCTGGGTCCCAGCAAATGCACGGAAGTCAAATCCTCTGCTCACTGTTCTCAAGAAACATATGAAGGAATACAGATAACACTTACATGTAAATATGTACGTGCCCCAAGTGACAGAACGGCTGGATGGGAAATCGTCTGCACCCCCACAGAAACCAAAGTCAGTGCCCACTGTGAGCAGGGACCACGCTGGGACAAGGCACTTCAAGGCTCACTGGCATGAGTGAATCCTTTCTGGAATCCTCTGAGCCTCCAGGAAAGGCTCTCTTGAAGTGGGGGTTATCCTGAGCCTGTTTGCAGCTGGTTGGGCCGTTAATGACATCCTATCACGAATTCAACTCCCCTAAGATGAGGGAGAGGCTGAGACTCCCAGACGGTCCCTGGATTCAGCGCGGGAAAGAGCTGAGACCAAGCCACCCAGGATAAAGACGAGGCGGTCCCAGCCCCCAGCCCCCCACCCCCACCCCCCTGTCTAAGCGGCAGAAAGTGGTGCTCAGGCAACAGCAGCCTGGGGCTCGAATGACACGTCTGAATATCGAGGCCACCGCATTTTTTCTCACTGGCCTGAAGCCTGGGAAGCTTGATACGCTGCTTTGAAGTCTGCTCGGGGCAGGGGAGTGCGTGGATTTGCCGGGCCTCCGACAGTAAGAGGGTGGATAAGACCCTCTCGGGCTCAAGTGTCAGGAGACTTTCCCAACTTTATAAACACTGCTGGGAAAGTGGGGAGCACTCAGACCTGCCGTTTTCAGCAGGAGGCCTTGAACACTTCTTGCTTCGAGGTTGGGCTGAAAAGTCTGGACCCCACGATTCATCTACGGGGGCAGCGAGGCCGCCAGCGTAGGCCAGGGGAATATTGCTCGAGAATGTTCTGGGAAAGATCCCTGCCTGGGCGGAGGGGGCCTTACAAGACACATCCCATTTCCTCATTTCTCCAATTAAAACACACTGTACCTCCTTTTCTAAATCTTGGGCCACTGCCCTCCAACACCCTGCACACATTCATTGAGTTGCCCACGTTCAGACCACAGGAAGACGGTACCGATTTTGGTGAGCCACTTGGCCACAGCGCCGTAGATCTCGTCCAGGATGAGGATGACCACGAGGTTGATGATGACCGCCGTGGCTGTCACCGTCACCCGGACATTGGAGCGTGTGGCCTTGTTGAGAGACAGAGCAGCTGCGGTGGTGATGCGGTACACGATGACCCCGAAGACAATGGAGAAGGTCAGCGCGATCTGTTCAGGGAAGCAGGGAGAGTCTCAGGTCAGCGGATGGTCCTCACACACCCATCCCTCACTCGGCCAACGGTCCTGTCACATGGGGTACTGCTAATCTGGAGTCCCCTGGCGGGTGACAGAGCACAGCAAACCCTTTGAACTCCTGCAAACTCCAAGCATGGGTGCATCTTCCAGGAGAGAATGTCGTATTTTTATCAGATTTCAAATGTCCTACAACACACACACACACACACACACACACACACACTAAGGTTCCCAGTGGGGAGAGGGAAGGGCGAGGGGGAAAGGGGTTATGATATGAAATCAGGAGTGAAACTTTTGAAAATTGACAAAGCACTATAGAATTTTAAAGGAATCTTTTCACTCAACTCAAAAAAATTGCAAACCTATTTCAGAGAAGTCCTTATAATAAAAACTATATATTAAAAATATAGAACAAAAACCACCTAGGAATGAAACCCTGGACACCGTGGTGTGCCCATCACACAGGGTGTGATTTCTTAGAGAGTCTTCAATGGACTCCGAGGCTAAGTTCCACCATAGTAAACAACAGCTCGGGATGCGGTCAGTGCCAAGCAAAGAAGGTAGCTGTTAATGGGACTGAGGACACAGAGGAGCGAGGGGAACCGGGGGTCAGGGAGGAGTCTGTGGAGCAAGCACATTTAAAGCATGCCTTCAGCAAGAGGCAACAGGGAGCCACTGAAGGTGCTTGAGCTGAGAAGGGGCGAGTTAGAACTCGATGGGGTGGGTGGGAGAAGGTTGCCAAAGGAGGGAAGGGGGAAAGAAACTCAGAGTGACAGTTTGAGAGCCTCAGTCCTCAAGGTGAACAAAGTACGGCTCTAAGATTTCTCTACCAGGCGACCAGAAATGGAGAACTCAGATTTCTCAGTGGGTGCAGACATCTTTGGCCACTACATTTAAAAGGAAAGTTTACCAGCCACGTGACCTCGAGGGCCACTCACCCCCCATTTCTTTTTTCCAGAACCTGAGAATGATAAGGCGCCACCTTCTGTCTCATCACAACCAAGGAAGGGTGGATCCAATGAAGCACAGGTATGTGAAGAGAAGGCAGTGGCCCCAGTGGGCCTCTGAGGGGGGCCGAGGGAGGTCAGGGAACTGCTGGGTGCATGGCCCCCTCAGAGCAAAATTCTAATTCGTTTCAGTCAAGTGACGTCTTCCTTGTTAGAATTCTTTCATCAAAGGAGGTGGTTCCGGTCCTGTTTCCTCTGGGGGCAGGGAAGGAGGGTGGCCGCTGGCCGTGGAGGGCCAAACAGAAAACGTGGGGCGAGAACTGGACAGGTCAACGGGTTCCTCTGAAGAAACACGCTGTCCGGGACTTCGCGTGTGCCCTCCCCAGGGAGGAGGGAAGTCGGGAGGGGCGGGGAGGAGGCTCTGCAGGCAGCATGAGTGACACTCTGGTGGGCTGCAAGTGGAGAATGGGCTGTAAGTGTGTCCGTGTAAGGATGTCTTCACTTCTGGGGGTGCTGGTGGCAGCCTCAGCCATGTGCCCATGTGTTTCACAACATCAGTGTTTGCCTTGTGGCCCAGGGTGCGAAAAAGAAGGAAGGCAGGATGGCAGTGCTCTCTGGGTAGAGGAAGGGGGGGTGTGTGTGTGTCCATGTGTGTGTCTGTGTGTGTGCACGCGCCTGCGCGTATGTCAGCGTGGAGGAGAGGTTAGATGGGAAAAACACTCTGAGGGAGGCCCCTCTTCTGATGCGGGGTGGGGGCGGGAGCAGCAGAGCCCTGGCCTCCAGGACTTGGGGGACCGGGCAGGGATGACTGCTCTGCATGGGGGGAGACCTGGACATGACATCACCGCTCGCCAACAGTGTAGACATTTCACTTCCCAGTCCTCTGGGATTGTCACCGCCAGACAGTAAGGGCCTGGAAAACGCGGTGTGAGATTCTTTTCCCCCAAAATCGCTTTTGCAGTGAAGGCCAGGGGTGGAAGTATTGATGAGGTGGGGGGAGGCCAGGGCACCGAAGAGCAACTGTGTGGGTTTGGTGCTGGGTGTGGGGGTTGGGTGGGGGGAACAACACGGGCAAAAACATCCCTTGTGTTGGGGTCTGGGGGGTGGGCCACAGAGGAACCAGTGGGGAGGCGATCGGTTTCTATTCTCCCCTCTTAGAGGCCCGGCTGCTGCGCTGGGGAGGGAAGGACGCTCTTCCCTGCCCCTCAGAGTGTGACGTGGACCTGCTGCCTCCGCCAGGAGCATGATGGACACGCAGAACTTCAAACTCAGGTCTAGACCTACCTGCATTTTATCCAGAGTCTTGTTCCAGAGGCACGGCTCCCACAACTCAGGAAAGCCCTCCGTCCCACCCTCCCTTCCTTCTGGCTCCTCCGCCAAATGCCCCTCCCCAGCCCTCTGATGCTAATTACTTGCGATCCTAACTTTCCTTGTCCTGATTTTCCACCCCACTACAGACATCAGGTTCTGAACCTCTCCTTCTGTGTTTCCTGCAAGCACTTCAAGGTTCAGTGTTCAAGCTGAACGAGCTTGGCGGGCACTGCCCAGTCCCGGGGCCATCTGGCAGATGAGGAAACAAGGCGTGCAAAGGGAAGTGATCTGCTCAAGGTCACAAGGCATAGCTACAACGCTAGATCAGGGTAGGGATGAAAGAATTTTAGCACTGAGGGGGCCACACCCACCTTCCATCTCATGGACAAGGGAACGGAGGCCCAGGAAGCAGCAATGATTGGTCCAAGGTCTGGGGGATACGTGGCAAAGCGGAGACACTAATGGTGATGACTTATCAGCTGAAGCCAGCCCCTCTGCGCCCTCTTGATTTCATTCTTCAATGCACATCTGCACTGGCATGAATCCCTATAGCCACCCTGCAAGGTAACACCTTTTGTGGCTGTGATTTAGCGCCATCCAGGATTTGAAGCCTGCTCTGTGGCTCCAAAGTCTCCACTCCCATCCTGACATCGGAACTCAGGTCTCTGGGCACTAAATCCAGTACTATCTTCAGCACTCCGGTAGCATCACTGACATTGCTTATTAAATTCAACAAATATTTTCCCACCACCTCCTGCGCTGGGTGGACTGCACAGGGGTGACCAGTGTCCCCCAGCTAGGCATCTCACAACACGCGCCCTGGAAGCTCCAACTTCAACCATCCGCGGCCAAGGCTGGGAAGACAGAACTCCCTACTAGAGCGGCCGAAGGCCACTGAACCTCCCAGGACTGGTTCTCTGTCTGAGGGAATCACTATTCCCTCCTCGGATGACCGACATCAGCACCGGCCTCGCTATCAGGTAAGACCCTTCCCATCTACCCAGCACTGCGGCTGCATCTTCAGTAGCCCCTCGCTGTCCCGGTCGCGTGAGAGACTAACACACCCACAGCATTCACACGGCGGGATCTCCAGGCACGTGTCCCCAGCAGTTTTTTTCTTCCCCCCAGGAAATTACCATGAACAAGATGGAGGCAAAGTTCATCAAGTAGCCTGGGAAGCGATCCCTCCAGGTCAGCTTATCATCATCGTCCTGGGGAAACGGGAACAGAGACAGTCAGATGATGCAAATGACGGGCGTTAACTTTCTCTCAACTTCCCATAAGCGTGCCTATCGCTAGTCATTCACCGCTCCGTGGAGGTATTTCTCTAGCCCCTGACAACTCACCCTGCACGTTAACAGCCCTCCCGATGCTGTGATTTCTAAGGCAGCCTGGACAACCCATGGTGAGGACAGCACCACATTTGATCGCAGCCTCATCCTTGGCTGAGTTTTAGTTCAATCACTTACCAGCTCTGTGATCTTTGGCATCTCTCTTAATGTTTCTGACCTTCTATTTCTGCATCTGTGAAATGGGCACAGTCGTGACCTCTGTCCTGGCTAACGCACAGGATGGTTTTAATCGTTTTGTCTGAATGAGAACCACCTGAACATGGTAAAGCACTAGACAGATGTCAGATACAAACGACCACAGGGCAGCGTCCTGAAGCAGATCACCATTTAGACCAAATGTCAACCACGGACCTTAGATCTTAAGTGTACAAATTCCCACAGTTCTGTTCTTCAGAGAATCTGTATGTGTTTTCATAGGTTCCCCTCCCCCAAATGACTGTTCTCCCCTGGTCACAAATACAGACATTTCAAGGTGCAGGTTAAGCGGATGTTCTGCTGTCAGTCGGGCTGAGAACCAGACCGGGTCCAGTTCCCAGGCTGCTCTTCTGGGACAACCATATCCCTGACCACATCCTCCTTTGGCAGCCCTGAAGGACCCTCATTTGGTAGAGTGATGCCAACAAAGTATGAGTGGTAAAAATGTCTGCTGACTAATGCCACCTAATTCTGGTCCAGGCAGCTGACTTCTCCGAGCTGCAGCTCTGTAAGATTAGAACCCATACAGTGCCTGCCCACCACCGGGTTGCTGGGAAGCCCATGTGAAGCCGTGTTTGGGAAGATGCCGTGAAAACCGCAAAGCCCTCCACGCCGGCGAGGGAGGAGCCCCCCGCGTTTCTGCAGTGTGTCTGAATCGAACTCAGGGAGCGAGTGTTCCAGGGCCCCTCTGTTCCTACCCTCCCCTTCTCGCTCCCAAAACCGCTGGTGATTTCAGAACACACCTGCCTTGGCTCTTGCAACAGTGCCATCTAGTCTCTGAAAGCTTGTACTGTAGGCCGAGGGCCCTCCTGGCCTAAAAAATCTTTTTTCTAAAAACCTTTGTGCACCCACCGCGTGCAGACCTTAGGGCCAGGCACGGTGGGCGGACAGGGGACAGTGGACATGATCGCCGTCCCTGCGCAGCTCCTGGTCTACTGAGATGGAAGCGACACCCCCACACTAGAAAGTCTCAGGACTCACTCGCCACTGTGCGGGCACAGGTTACACGGCCCTTGAGGACAGGAACGATGTGTCCTTTTCACGGCACGTTGGGGCTAAGCACAGCACTGAGCGGGCTTACATGGGGTGGAAGTGAGTCTTAAGGCTGAAGTCATTCAGTAATTAGTGCTTTCGGCTACAGACGATGTAAACAAGGTACTTAAGCTGCTCACAGACCGGGACAGGATCAGGTCTCCAGGCTCGGAGCCCAGCAGACTTTCCATCACGCGAGGACCAGGTAACTAGGGGTCGTGACCCTATTGCATGGGAGGGACCATCTAAGCCCGTTTCTGTTAGGACTGGAACAAGATTTCTCAATGTCTCTCCTTTTTCCTTTTTGATTAATTCTTAGTTTCACTCACATTAGTGGTTTTTCCTTTAAGGTTCTGATGAGGACAACTGAAGATGGGCAGGTGGACGGTAACACTCAGCAGGGATTATGGAAAGAAGGGTTGGGGTGGGAGGAGCTCTTCTGTGGGCCTCTCTCACCACAGTTAAGGTTTTGATGGTTTGGACCCTTTTCCTGCTCTTTGGCCTAGGGAGAAGTTCTGCCTTAAAGATCAGCAGACCAGGTGAGTTCTGAAACACCAGCGGGGAGGAGGGAAGAGGGAGCTCCAGTTACAGGTTCTGTGTCACCATCCCCCCGCCAGGGGGGCTCCCTGGGTGGGGAGCAGGGCAAGGAGAGGCAGGAAGACCCATGCGTGGCCCGTGAAATGAGGGGAGGGGTAAGAAATGAGGGGTCAGTGAGGGTGAGACGGGGTCAGAGTCGCCCTCAGGGCGGAGACGGACAGCCCTGGAAGAAATGGGAGAAAGGGAATTATAAGCAGAGAAGCAGGAAACATGGCCCCAGATGCTGTCCCCTTAATTCAGGCCAAGGACCAGCCTCTACCCCGCGGGGACAGCTCTGTCCTGGGACACGAGTTTCAGCTCAGTTCCACTCAACAGACGCGATCTGGGTGTCTTGGATGGGCTGGACGGAGGACACAGGGAGGAGAAGGCTCGGCCCTGCCCAAGAGATCCCGCTGAGGACACAAGGGAAGGGACTTCAGAGCTGACCCTGCTAGGGAAGGCGATGCTACTTTCCTTTTGCATAAAAATGAGATATAACTACAAAGCCATTGAATCCAATGTCCTCTCAAAGCAACTGTCTTAACGAACAACAGTCATTTTGATACAGACGTTCTGGTGTTTGTTGAAAAATCACTCTCATATTTACACGGATGAGCCCTTTTTTTTTTCCTGGAAGTGATAGCTTCCAACATACACACAGTTCCCATACATTCAGACACTTCTCAAACACAAGCGCAGAGAGAAACGCGAAGATTCCAGACTGGCTTCCAAGCTCCCCGAGTTACCAGAAAAGATGCCAGTGAGCCAAGGGGCCCTTCTGTATAATAACTGGCTCTGATAACGGCAGCTAATTAGAACCTCCACTCGCTGGCACAGTCAAGATGTGAAGATTCACGGCAAGACACCACCCAGTCAATTACGCTCTGTGTGAAAGCCACATAACCAGCTTCTGGGATGGCAGAAGAAAAGTAGACGGGGAACCACGGCTTCTGAGTTTAACTCTTGGCGCTCGTCCTCCCTAGTCAAGTGGCCTTGGGAAACTCCCAGAGCCTCCCTTTCCTCAGCTGTCAAGCAATTATATTCTTCATCTGCAAAATGTGTACATGGTAATATCCGTCCCACCAAATGACCATGCGTTTTGTATTCAGCAGCCAACCGGTGGAGGGGCCGAGCCAGGGCACCTGAACACAGAGGGGAGGACTCTCAGTGTCTCCCTCTCCTTCTGAAATGGACTGTTGTCATCAACTCTTGTCCCATCGAAGTGGCAGAGGCACTGTGTGGACCACACGGCTGGATGCCGTGAGAGCGCTTTGTAAGCACCAAGGCGTCACACAAAAGGAAGGTCTAATCAGCTTCGTGATTCCGTCAAAAGCAGGTGGTTAGGAAGCACTCAGCTAATTCATGCTTGTGAAGACACGAGCCCGCTGTCGTCTGCGCTGGGGCCTTTGTCCCTGGACTCTGACTCCCACTTCCAAGTCTCCAAACAGGAAGTAGCAGGGTGATATTCACGTGAAACCACAGAAGTGTCCTTCTGGCAAACTGGACAGTTGGACATGCAGTTACTGAAAATGCAGTGAGAACACTATCTAAGCAAATCCCTTTGGAGAGCAGCCTTGAACAGTGGCCAATCACCCTTGAGTTGGTATTTCTTTAAATGAAGTTGTAACTTCCATACAGTAAAATTCACCATTTGCAGTGCTGCAAGTTTGGATAAACATGCACGTACTGCTGCAGAACCACAACCACAGGCAAGATACAGAAGAGCCCATCAGCCCTCAGGATAGACCCCCATGTCTCTTTGTGGTCCACCACCTCCCCCGATCCGCAGATCCTCGCAAGATCTGTTCTCCATCCCCTGAGTTTTGCCTTTTCCAAACTTTATAAGTAACTTCACTCCATAGGGAGCCTTGTGAGACTGACTTCTCTCACTCAGTGCAGTGCACTGGGGGCTCATCCCGGCTGCATTCTCCCGAGTCTGTTCCTTCTTACCGCTAAGTAGTATTCCCCGAATGGACGTGCCACAGTTCGTTCAACCGTCCCTAGCTGAGAGACGTTTGGGCTGTCCCCAGTTCTTGGGGGTTATAAAAAGCCGTTGTAAGCATTTGCGGGCTGCAGTTTTCATTTCACTTAGGTAAACACCAAGCAGTGGAAGTGCTGAGTCATCGGGTGAGTCTGTGTTTGATTTATAAGCAGCCGCCAGACTGTTTTCCAAAATGGCTGTGCTGTTTTGCATTTTCACCAGTAACATATGAGAATTCCTTCCTCTACTTTCTTTCCTTTAAATAAACTTTTAATTTTAGAACACTTTTAGATTTTATTTTAGAATAGTTTCAGATTTACAGAAAAGCTTCAAAACCGGTACAGAAGAGTGTGCATGTACATGTGTGTGTATATATAGGCACACACTCTGCACCCAGTTCCCATGTCACATTAGTCTGGGTACATTTTTTGCAACCCGTGAACCAATGTCGTACATTATTATCCACTAAAGTTCACACTTTGTTTGGATTTTCTTGGTTTCCACTGCTTAGGTGACACTATCCTCTTTCTGCCCCAGAGTCCCATCCACGCTCTGTTCAGCCAGCCGTCTCCGTGGGCTTCCCGAGACTATGACGGTTCCTCAGACGTTTCTCACTGTTGATGACCTTGTCAGTTCTGAGGAGTACTGGTCAAGGATTTTGTAGAATATTCCTCAATATGGGTTTGCCTGAAGTTTTTCTCATAATTAGACTTAAGTTATGGGCTCAGGGGAGGAAGACCACTGCGGCAAAGTACCGTTTTCATCTCATCACATCAAGGGGACAGGCTACGCTATGACCTGCCACTCACGATGTTAACCTTGATCACTTGGTGGACGTGTTTGTCAGGCTTCCCTGCTGTCAAGTTACTCTTTCTCTCCCCAACCAGTTTCATACTTCACTCTTTAAAGGAAGCCACTACGTGCCCCCCGCCCCCATCTAAAGGGTAGGGAATTAAATTCCACCTCCTTGAAGAAGGGAGTATCTACAGATTCCTCCAGCTTTTTAATCCAGATGTTTATAGTATTTTAGATTCACTTAAAGCAGGACTGTAGTAAAGAGATGCTCAGGCATGCC